AGTTCTACAGTTCCTTGGGTATCCCATATACTCCTAGACACCATCCAAGTTAGTAACCCCTTAATAAAAACAACTAAAAACCAGCACAAGAACTGTTTTTCTGACTCTAAAAGTACAAGGGTGGAAAATGCGTGTTTCCTGGGCCTGCAGAGCATAGGAAGACCCAAACCAAAAGTTTAAAGTGATTCTAAAGGCAATTTTTCTTTCTAATTAACCACTTGCCCTCCAGAGGATTTTACCCCACTTCCTGACCAGGCCATTTTTTGCGATACGGTGCTGCATAGCTTTAACTGACAATTGCGTGATAAAGCAACGCTGTACATAAATTACATTTCTTAAATTTTCTTCCCACAAATAGAGGTTTCTTTTGCTGGTATTTGATCACCTGTGCGTTTTTTTTTTTATTTTTTGCACTATAAACAAAAAAAAAAAAAAAAATGTTTGACTTTTTGTTATAAAACATATCCAATGAAAATTTTTTAAAAATCAACTTTCATCATAAATTTAGGCCAAAATGTATTCTGCTACATGTCTTTGCTAAAAAAAATCCCAATAAGTGTATATTAATTGTTTTACGTGAAAGCTATAGTGTCTACAAATGGTGGTATATATACTGGAATTTTTATTTATTTATTTTTATACTAGTAATGGCGGTAATCAGCGACTTAGACTGCAGCAGGCATTCTGACACTGGGTGGGAACTAACTAACTGTCATTGACATCCCCAGTGGTACTAATACAGTGATCATTGCTAATAAAAAGAACTGACACTGTACTAATGACACTGGGCAGGAAGGGATTAACATCTTGGACAATCAAAGGGTTAACTGTGTGCTTTTCTGTATTTTTCATGATGTGCTGTCTGTGTTTTACTAGGGAGACATGCTGTGCAGAGAAACACAAAGCAGCATGTCTATGCTGACGGGAGAAACCTGTGTTGTTTATACACAGGTCTCTCCCCTGTCAGCTTTCCCCGACGATCGCCGGGTGCCGGCCAGGAATCGCCATCTGGGACCTGGTGATTGATATCCCTAGCCGGCATGGGTTTGGCGGCGCACATACCCACCCCCTACCCGGAAATGCAAATCACGTATATATATATATATGATTTTGTGCAGCCCTGCCACCCTGTAGCAGTATTTCTGCTATAGAGCAGCGAACAAGTGCTTGAAATAAAAAAGATGTTATACTTACCTGCTCTATGCAATGGTATTGCACAGAGCAGTCTCTCACCTCCTCTTCTTGAGTCCCCCACCAAGGCTGCCTCTGCTCCTCCTCTCCTGCATGTGCCACCCATAGCAAGCCATGTACTAAGTGGGCACCCAGGCAGGCACACTCCCAAGCTGGGCTGTGTGCATTCATTGACACACACAGCACTGCTCTGCCATGCCCTCCGCTCCTGCAGTTCTCAGAATAAGAAACAGTGGTGCTGCAGAGGGTACAGTGCTGGATCGATGAAGTCACATATGTGTTTAGGAAATGGGGGGGGAGGTGGTTCAGTTAGGCTACGTTCATACTAGCCTTGTTAGCAAGCGGCAGATAGGCGTTTGGAAAGCATTTTTACCAGTGGCAGACTGACAACTCATGGGGCCCCCGGGCAATAGGGGATCATGGGGCCCCTGTGTCCTTGCCCAAACTCAAAAAAGCCTATGAAAAAGGTACCAGGGGCATCTCATGGGGCCCCCTACTGACCTTGGGCAGCGCCCGAGTTTCCAAATGGTTAGTCCGCCCCTGGTTTTTACCATTTCCGAAACACCTGGGAAAATTCTGCACAGCGGGAGCGTCAGCGTCGCTTTGTGTCGCGTCGCGGCAAAACGGACGCCTCTGGTCGAGTCAGGAGGAGTTGAAGCCTCCTATTCAAGTCTATGGTGCCGCTCCGCAAATGCCCAGCTGGCGTTTGCAGTGCGGTTGCGACACGGTTGTAGGGCATTTGCGGAGCGGTAACACCATTCAAACTTCATTATAGGCATTTTTAACACTTGGCAAATGCCTAGCAACTTCCACTAAACGGCGCATGCGGTGTTTGCAGAACGTTAAAAACGCTCCACAAATGCCGGAACAAACGCTTGTCAAACGCTATAGAGGCGTTTGGCGAGAGTTGGAAAAACAGTCAAGTGTGAACGAGCCCTAAGCGGGGTGTTTTTTTTACCTTAAACCCTTGCGCCCATTAAAAAATAAATAACCTTTAGAATCACATTACAGACCTTCACAAATGCAATGATAGCTGCTGTGTTAGAATGGACCACTTTTAGTAACGCTTCCCAGTTAACTGGTTAAGCCACAATTTATGTATGTTGTAGAATAATTGGCCTGTACTGTGGGTACATATCTGTGTGTACTGAAACCAGCTGCTTCACTGTTCATAAAAGGTCTGTATAATAAGAATCACCAATATAAAGAATTCATTTTCTGTTTGCTGCTCTTTCAATTTTTTTTATATCATATAAGGTTAAGCGCAGTCATATTTTCTTTAAGTAAAGTTAAGCTTGCTCTCAGACCAATTAATCCTTACTGCAGTGACACCCAAGCAATGGCATTGGTGTCACACCTTAGCTTCAAAATGACCTTTTTAATATTGCATGTGCCAACCTGTCTATGGATTTTAAGCATTAGACTGCCTGTCTTTCTGCAAATATTTGGCATTATGTATTTCTCACCTAATCCAGCCTGTGCAGGGTTTCCAAATGCCGTTGTTTGTTTGAAAATTAGTTCAGGTCCATTTCTAGTTCCCATATCCAGAGTATAATTGTCATAAAGCATAACTTGTTTCAGAACAACTCTGCACCAATCTCAATCTCCTGTCCCATTAGAAGCTGTCTGCAATAAAAACAGCCAGGTTTCACCTATCATGTCCTGCTTTTAGGAGTAATGAATTCTTATGAGCTGTATTCCTGCAGTGTGCATAGACATTTGTGTGTTTTTGGTGATTATTTTACACAAATGGACTCATTTTATACCATTGTGTGCTTTTAGCTGACTGAAGTATATCCAAAGCCACATTTCCTAACTATACCCAGGGCTACGTTTGCAAGGAAATAGACAATAACAGAAAGGTAATTGACTGCTTTGTTGCTGTTATGTAGCCAGTAGGGGGCACTAAATCATTTGCAATTGATGTTCTCTATTAACAATGGCTAACATCATGCTCCAATTTAGATACTTACAGACATTTAGATGGTGCGTTATAAATTTTGGTTCAAGTTGAAGAGTTTTGCAGGCAACTGTAAATCACGCATGGTGAGGTAAATGAAAACTTTTACACTTCCATGATGTGGGTGAAGCGCATCGTACCCATGGTATTTACTAGGGTTCCACCATTTCCCATAGACCTCTATCATGTCCTGCATTTTTGTCGTGTTTTCTAAAAGTGCACCAAAAATCCCTTTTGCTACATCTTTGGTGCACTTTCAGAAAATGCACCAAAACGCAGATCAGCCACTTTCAAATCGCAGAGCAGCCAGAGCAATTCAGCGCTCTGACCGCTGTGTTGCTGGCCAGCTAGGGGGCAGTGTAGTGCACAATTCAGCATACCGCACTGCTCCCTTTCTTGTGTTTTATTTTGTACAAGCTTTATTTAACCACTTGCCCTCCAGAGGATTTACCCCCCTTCCTGACCAGGCCATTTTTTGTGCTGCCTTACTTTAACTAACAATTGCACGTTCATGCAATGTTGTACATAAATTAAATTTATGTCCTTTTTTCCCACAAATAGGGCTTTCTTTTATTGGTATTTGATCACCTGTGAATTTTTTTATTTTTGGCGCTATAAACAAAAAAAGATCAACAATTCTGAAAAAAAAACAATATTTTTGACTTTTTGCTATAAAACATATCCAGTAAAAAAAATTCTAAAAATAAAATTTCTTCATAAATTTAGTCCAAAATGTATTCTGCTACATAGAACCAGCAAACACAAATGCTTCTGCGCTTGGGGATGGACTCGATGCAGGCTACAACCACATTAAGAATGTCCTGGAACATGCACACCTTGCTCCCCTCAAATGACCGGGGGAATCCAAATATACTGAATGGGGAAAGAACAAACAGAGGGCGCACAGGCCTAGTGCATTACCATAAAAAATGTGTAATAAAAAAATAAAGTAGGTGTTGTACTCACAAACGACAATAAAGTCAAGGCACATCATAAAAGAACAGCTGGGTCAACACCGTGCTGAGTAACAGTCCGCAATAGGGAGTTTAGACATCCAAAAGCCACACGTTTCGAGGACTTGCCTCTTCCTCAGAGTCGTTTGTGAGTACAACACCTACTTTATTTTTTATTAAACGTTTTTTTATGGTAATGCACTAGGCCTGTGTGCCCTCTCTTTGTTCTTTAGGGCGGGCAGGAGGTGGTTAAATTGTACACTTCATTTACTGCAATGTTAGGTGGTGTGCTCGCTGTGCTGCCTGACATTGCAGTGTGATTCAGTAGCCTGTAGCATGCCTGTATTTTATCGCAGCATGCTGCAGCACAACGCTAGGCTGCATTGCAGTGTGAATAGAAAACAATTGTTTCCTGTGTGTCCCTGAGGTGACAGACGCTTACAATGCGGTAAAATGTCTGTCACCACAGGTAGTGTGAATTGGCCCTTACAGTAGAACTAAAGGCAACAGTTTTTTTTCATTTTGGATAGCATAAGGAAGGAATATAATTTTGTTTTTGCCATCTGTATCCTATTCAGGAATTTTTCCTTTACTTCCTCTCCCATAGCTAAAACAGGAAGTGAGAAATAATCCCTCCAAAGTGAGAGAATCCTTGGTTGTCACCAGGGTCACTGGAACTAGCTTCCCCATTGGAAGATTTCCCCTCTCTTTCGGTGATGGTGGTCACTTTGATAAATAGAGGGAATGAATTTCCCTAACGGGGGTCACAGACAGCAATACAATCTGATAGGTGTTCTATTCCCTCTCCACTCTGTCCAAAACTTAAAAAAAAAGTTTTTCCTTTATCCCTAGGGGCAGACTGACCATTTGGAAACTTGGGCACTTCCCAAGGGCACGGGGTCAGTAGGGGGCCCCATGAGATGCCCCTGGTACCTTTTTCATAGGCTTTTTTGAGTTTGGGCAAGGACATGGGGGCCCCATGATCCCCTATTGCCCCGGGGCCCCATGAGTTGTCAGTCCGCCAATGGTTATCCTTATAGGGCCGGTTCACACTACATGTGTTTCAGTTGCTTTTTTTCCCGCATCCAAAACACAGAAAGTAAGTTATATGGTTGTCATAGTTCACATCAGTGCTTGCAGTTCCAGCGCGTTCTGGTTGCAGGAAAAAAAGTAGAACAGGCTGCATTTTTTCTGCACAGAACTGTACTGGAACACAGTAAAACGCATCAAAACCGCACTAATGCACCAAACTTGCACTGGAATGCACCATAACCGAACTGGAATGCACCAAACTTGCACTGGAATGCACCATAACCGCACTGGACACCAAACTTGCACTGGAATGCACCATAACCGAACTGGAATGCGGAATGCATAACCGAACTGTCCCTATTTAAATTGAAGAAAAAGAGAAGGGGAAAAATATACTGGATGCATAAAAAATACACCAAAAATGCACCAGAATGTGTCAAAAACACACATACAGAAACGCATCCAGACTTCGTTTCTATAGTGTGAACTGACCGTAATGCATAGTTTTTTCTGGACTGGTGATGTAGAAAGTATTGACACCAGAGACAGTCAGGCATTTAGCAAGTATTTCTATTAACATAGACTTTGCATGGTCTTGGTACAGTTATGTGTTTTTTTCAAAGGCCCTACAAACTGCCAGTTTCGAGCACTACATAAAAACTGGCTTATTTAATAAATTCAGTGCTTATGTGAAAGAACCGATTGGTCACTTATAACAATGAGATTGGACATTTTTAGTTGTTTACTAGTTGCATCTGTGAGTAATAGTGTGATGGGATGAACATAATACCGCTGTACACTGACGTACGGAATGGCTTTATCTTGCCGTTCACAGCCCTTCAAACTTTTTGCTCCAACCGTGCCCATGACAATGCTGTACAGTTGCCGTTCGGAAAATCCCCCATAATCCTCTGCATGAAACAGCAGGCTATGTGTAACAGAAGAATAGAGAGGGGGCGTGATAGGGATAATAAATCTGAAACATTTGTATCTTTACCCCCTCTCTCTCCACTAGGTCAAGGACTGTAGAACAGTGGGTGCTTTGTGTACCCCCTTGGAGCCGAGGCAGCCAAGCACATGATAAGGAGTAGTCAGACTGTGACAAAACTAGAAAGGCATGTCAGATAGGGCAGCATTGATACAGACACTCATTCTTCTACAGCACCACAAACCAGGGAGTGTAGTTTTACAAGCACAGCCACCAGTATTTGACTGGTCTGCAGGCATAAGCTCGGTTACATGCTGTAAGTAGTAATTGAATTCCTACTTCACCAAAAACTAATGTAGCGCTTTCCCCAAAGAAGCTCCTGTTTCCTGTTTTTCCTGCGTCCCCTGTTTCCTGCGTCCCCTGTTTCCTGCGTTCCCTGTTTCCTACGCCCCGTTTCCCATGTCCCCTGTTTCCTGTGCTGACAATTCTGCAAGTAGCACCAATAACTCCGACACACCTGGACTAAAGAGGGAATATTCATTGCAAATATATACGGTACCCCAACACTTTACGGGCTCGTTTACATTTGCTTTGCTGTTTGAAGAGCAATCTAATTTGGATCGCTCTTTAGACAGCAATAGACAGGCAGTGAGGAGGCGTTGTATCACCTCCTTGCCGCCTTTGTTAACCCCCTAAATGTTGGACAAGCATGCCACAACTGCACGCATTGTCCGCGGTTTCACTGTGGCCCTATTCACTTGAATGGGTCATGTTCAGCAGGCGGTACCGCCCACCAGGCGCAACAGGGGGTATACCTCCTGCTGCAGCTGCTACATGTGCACCCTATGGCCACTGCCACAGCAGCAAAAGGGTGGGCAGTTGAGGGGAGGTAGAGATGACTCAATTGTGGGGTTTTAACACCCCCCAATTGCAACTGTAAACAAGGCCTAAAGGAAAACAGTAGTAATTTCTGAACAAATATGTAAAACAATGGTATTTAAGATGTACAGTTGGTGAAAAAAAAGTGGAACAGAGAGTAGCCTCTAAACTCTATGCTAGGGGTGATCCTGCATAAAGGGAGTATTACCACAATAATAGATTGGCAGTCTATATTAAACTCCTTTCCCCGCTGGGCAGCACATTGGGGCCCATATCTGATGTTGGAGTGCTCAAGCTAAAGTTCCAATTGTTGATAAAGGCACCTGCACTTTGACCCACAGGAGTCATTGACTCCTGTGGCAAAAGATGAGGAAATAAGGAAATGCCGGTCATCGGCATTCCTCTCCTCACGAGCTGTCATCGGCATTCCTCAGAAGAGACATCTACACTCATCATCAGGGCGTTGATGATCAGTGTAGCCCCATCAGTGCCACCTGTCAGTGCTCATCAGTGCACATCAATGCCGCATATCAGTGCCTACTAGTGCACATCAATGCCACATATCAGTGCCCATCTGAGCTGCCTTTCACTGCCAACTGTCAGTGCCAGTCAATGCCGCCTATAAGTGCCGCCTACCAGTGCCCATCAGTGCCGCCTATCAGTGCCAGTCAGTGATGCCTATCAGTGCCCATTACTGCAGCCTCATTAGCACACATCAGTGAAGGAGAAAAATTACTCATTTACAAAATTTTATAACAGAAACTAAGAAAAAAACATTTTTTTTCAAATGTTTCAGCTGTTTTTGGTTTGTTTAGCAAAAAATAAAAAACCCAGAGGTGATTAAATACCACCAAAAGAAAGCTCTATCTGTCTAAAAACGATATAAAACTTTCATATGAGTACAGTGTTGCAAGACTGTGCAATTGTCATTCAAAGTGCGACAGCGCTGAAAGCTGAAAATTCGCCTGGGCAGGAAGGGGTTGAAAGTGCCCTGTAGTCTAGTGGTTAAACACTGACCTTGCTGGCTACTGCAGATTTGCTCTAACTCAGTAGTGTATTACAAAAGAAATGCAGTAAACATTGACTTGGGTGTCCACAGCATTGTAGTCCAAGTCAGCAGCAAGAATGTTTGTAGATATGCAGTGAGGGTTGAAACTCAGAGGATACTTGCTCATACATGCTCGTGATTTCTTTTTTTTCAATCTATTAATGACGATACTTACATATATCAAAGGTACTTCTGCAAGCTCCTGGGACCCTTGAACCTGGGAAACATGCCATATGTAACGCAAGAGCTGTGAAACGCACCCTGCATCTAACAGTTCCAAGCATGGGCCCCTCTACTGGTCTTGTTGACAGACATGGGTGGGGGTGGTATGTAGTTCTGAAATTTGGCTGCAATTCAACTTTTATACATAGTAAGCATACAGCTTCTGAAGTTACCAGCGTGTGCAGAAGCACTTTTAACAAAACAAAACACAAAAATGTGAATTTAGGAGTCCGATCTGAAGTAAAACAAAGACTTTGACACATTGACTGGTTCACTACAAAGTACATTTTTTAAAAATCCAGGTATAGGTAGCTCCTGAAGGAGGTAAATACAAACCTGGGAGGGAACACACACGTGTATGTGTATATGTATATATATATTTACTATTTTTTTTTTTTTGAGGGGGGGGGGATCGGGGAAGAGAAATAAATATTTTTATACTGGGTTCACACTACCACACAGGCTACAGACTGCTTGTGGGTGCAGCAATTGCACCTGTTCCCACACCTGCAACCACCTTCAGCTAAATCACACATCGCACTGGTCTTGACAGATGCTCAGGGTGGCCATTCATTCAGCGCAATCAAGGGTGCAGGAACCACAGAGAAACTGCATGGTCAAAAATACCATGAAGTTTCCCTGCGGCTGCGTTTTTAAAAAGGTGCATGCACCTTTTATTGTGTGGGACACGCTGCACAGCAGTCCATTCAAATGAGGTTGAATTAATTTAGAAAATCAAAACACACAGCAAGGAGAGGATGTGAGGAAAAGGTAAGAGGAAGTTGTATCAGTTTTATTAGTAACAAAAAAAAGATTTTTTTTTTCCTTTATATTGATTTAAAAAAAAAAAAAAAAAAAAAAAGAGAGAACACTGTATTTCCAATACATAATTTCCTTAAAAAGCTAAATAGCTATTATCACAACAACAAACTGCTCACGGTTGCAAACCCATTAAAAATATACACGTCTCAAGATAATATTCATGGATTAGTCATTCATTTCAGTCTCTGATTCTTCTTTTGTGTAGAGAACAGAAAACTCATAAAACACAATTGCTTCATGCTGACAAATTACAGTTCTGCATCATCTTCTGTACAGAGTGAAACAACCACATTCATTATTCCTTGAAGTTATTTCCAAGAATGGGTTATTCATAAGAAAATTACATTCTTTTTTTTCCTAGCACTGGCTGAGCGTGAAATTATATTTTTTGTACCCCATTAACAAAACTTTGATAGGGATATAATAAGATATTATTTATTTCAGGTATTGCCCTCTCTGGGCATCCAGTGTTCTCAAGCTGGTTGACCGTACTATGAAAACTGGACACACTGGTAAATCACCACACAGTATTTAAACAATGTATTCATTATTATACTCATTTGTTAGTATTTATAATACTGGGACAGTATTTTTCATTGGAGGCTTACAAGTTGCAGTTTATTATGTATTTACGTCCAGACCAGTGCCAGGAGAACCTGGAACTCATTGACCCAGCAATGACAGCTATCTTCTGGGTTCCGAAAAACTTGGGTTTGGACCAAACCCAAGCTCATCACTACTGGAAATAATAGCTCCTAGGACAAACAGAGAAAGTAAAGTTGAAAGTACACTAGTAGAACTTAGTTTGACTGTTCATATGAAAATTCTCGTTAGAATATTCTTTCTTGTCATCAAGTCAACTAGTACCATTTGAAAGTCCATGCTTTTTTAATAGAATCCTAGACGTGGTAGTAAAATCATACATTAGAAAAAAAACTCCTCGAATAAACTAAGATTTATGCAGAAATGGGAAACAGACCTCCAGGAAACCTTTGAGTTGGATGAATGGCACTTAATGGCTCAGGCAGCCTCCCGGTCCTTAGTAAGCAC